ATAATAATTAAAACCCCATTATATATATTAAAAAATACATAAATATATGTGTAAGCAAACAAACATCCCAAAATAATAATAAATAAAAATACACGTCATGATAAATTCTCATCAAATAAAGAACTAAAATAAATAAAATAAATAATATATATATTTAAAATGTATACGCCCAGAATTGGCGAACGAAAATGCATTGCTGAAGGCGCAAAATTCTCAATCGCCCCAAACACTTGATCAACCAAGTGGAAACTGGCTACTTGACGGGTAAATTTTTGTACATCCTGTAGATCAGCGCGTCGGCCGTTTTCTCGCTGAGTCCCTTAGTGGCAAAGTCGTCGGCAAGCATTGCGGCAACTGCCTCCGCAGCCATTAAACCTGACGGAGGAAAGTGAATAAGCGTGAATGGGAGATTAATCGAGTTAACATCGCGCGGGATCGGTTAGTTGCGGGACCGTTTGGTCGTGTTCGCAAGAAAGTGAGGAGGACTTTTACTATCACGCGAGCTCTCGATATATGCGTTTGGTCGGCTCAATCCGCGATGTCTCGGAATGTCCGTGAGATTTTAGAATTTCGCACATTCGCGACTGTATCCTCCGATTATTCGTTTGAGATTTTATACGACGTTTATATAATTGACAGGACACCTGCCCGATATCGCCATGTAGCGAGTCGCGAATCGACGTTACTTTCCAAGAAAGAATTCGACTTTTCATTCTATCAAGTAATTACGGAAGAGCCGTGCGACAGTCGCGTAACAAACACAAATGTGACTTCGCGTAATCGTCGAAACCGGCTTTAAAGCTATTGGTCGATTTACTCTGACAGTTGATAATTAATTTATCGTTTTCCTTCTCTGAGCGGATGCACGTTATTTATAATCGTCACGTACTTACTATAATTGAGAATAACTTGCACCGGTCCCGCCTCGTTCATACCCTGAAGACTGATCTTCTTGTCTTTGGCGGACAATTTGGCTCTAGCAGCACGAACGATCATCAATTCTTCGTTCATCTTCTTCAGTTCTAGTGTAAAATCGCCCACTACGTCGGCTATTGAAGCAATAGAAATGTATGTTGATAAATTCTCATTAATTTTTGCTCGCTATCTCATGTAAAATATTGCGTGCAAGTTATTCCTTACTAAAGTTTCCGCTAAACAGGCCATTGCCATGTAACATCTCCTTTCCCACTTTTCCCGTAAGCGTGTATTGAGACTTTACGCGAAGCAGCGGGACGCGTATTCTCAAAATCACAACCATCACGTCGCCCTAAAGAATTTTTTCAGAGTATATAAGATATAGAAACAAATTCTTTTCTTTCCTTCTCATATTAATTCATGGATATATCAGAAAATAATAAAAAAAATTTTTAAACAATTCAAAATGTGGGATTTGAATAAAATATCAATTTTTTACTTCATCAGTTTCCTCGGGATGCGCTCGCTTCGTTCTCTTGGTATCATTGAGTTTTATATTTTGAGAAGCGCTATTATTTCTCGCGTTCATTCCACCATAATGATAGATCAACTGCATGCTTTCTTCAAAGTATCCTTGCTGCTCCTGATAACTCTTCGCATACCTAGTTAAATTCTTTAAATTTTTATCTTCCATCGCAGCTTTAAACATATCATTCCTCTTCCTCAAGGCTTCACCTTCCGTAAAATTGTGAATAATAAATCTTGTATTTTCCCGAATGTCCTGAATATGAGAATTCAAAATATTTTACGAATCGCACAAAAACTGATAATTTAAAAAAGAAAGAAATAGAGAGAAAAGAACAAAAAAAAAATAAAATAAAATAAAAATACCTTCATGACATCCTCAATGCCATATACTTGTCGATTCTCTACGGGATTGTTACCTAAGTTACCGAAACGTTTCATACTTCCGTTAGCTTTGTCATCCGCGTAGATAATATCGATATAACCCGTTCGCTCTCTCATTACGTTTCTCGATAATTTAACATTGCTCGAAGGTGTAACGTTTGATCGTAAAGACTGTTCTCTATTATACAACGCAGGCGGTCTTGCATCACCCTGATTTTTTAACCTAGTCTCGACTGTTTCCGAAGCAGAAACCTGTTTTAATAAATTTTGTAGTTTGAAAGTTTCTGCATATATTAATTACACTAACATTACTTCATTCTAGAATGTGCGGGAGATTTATGTAAAATTATTATATAATATATATAATATACAAACAATAATAATTTT